TTAATGTTGCTAGGGCTTATGAGCTGAAATGTGAGGTCAAAAATCTCAGAYAAGGGGAGAAACARGTCTYTRTTTATTTCTCAACCCTAAAATCCCTGTGGCATGAGATTGACCACCTTGAGACAATTGAATGGGAGAGTCAGAAAAATGCACAGACTTACAGAAGGCAAATTGAAACTAACAGAGTATTTAAGTTCTTGGCTGGTCTAAATTCTGAATATGATATTGTAAGACAGCAACTATTGGCAAGAGAAAGTGTGACTCTATCTCAAGCCTATTCCCTAGTGCACAGTGAAGAGACTAGGAGAAAGGTCATGTTACAGTAACAACCTTTCGAATCTGCCCTGGTAGCAGTTAAACCCAAGCCAGGGGGAGATAAGGAAAGGGATATGAAGAAAGAGACTAAAAAGGACCTAGTTTGTGAACATTGCAAGAAACCTAAACACACCAAAGACACCTGTTGGAAGTTGCATCCACATCTAGTTCCAACAAAACTCATAAACAAAAAGGGTAATGCCAATATGGCTGACAACACTGATAGTGCAGCCTCAACAGCTTCAAGAGGTACCCCTCTTGATACCCTAGCTGTTGTCCGAGCTGCTCTAACACAATTAGAAAGTGAAGTCAGTAATTCAGTATCATCTCCTCAGCCATCATCAGCTCCTTCAACCTCATCTTTTGCTCAATCAGGTAATCGGGCCTTAGCTTGTCATGCTTCAACTCCAAGTAATACAAAACATTCTTGGATAATAGATTCAGGAGCATCTGATCATATGACTAGCTTGCCTTCACTATTCTTTACCTATCATTTATCTTTTGGTAAAGACAAAGTGTCCATTGCTGATGGATCTCTTGTTCCTATTTCTGGCAAAGGAGACATCAAGTTGTCTGATACAATTTCCCTATCCTATGTCCTACATGTTCCTAAGCTTAATACTAACTTGCCCTCAGTTAGTAGCATTACAAAAGGGCAGAATTGTTCAGTAACCTTTTTTCCTGATCGATGTGTTTTTCAGGATCTGGAAACAAGGAAGGTGATTGGGACTGGCCGTGAGACAAATGGAATCTACCTACTTGGAGGAAGTGCTCATCAGGAAGATAGTGAAACTAAGAAATCCTTTGTTTCTCAGTCTGTTGATCAGGTGATGCTTTGGCATAATAGATTGGGCCATTTATCCTTTCAGGTTTTGAAAAGTTTGTTTCCCAGTATATTTGAATATGTCCAGATGACTGGTTTGAAATGTGAAAGTTGTGAGCTTGCAAAACATTGCAGGACTACTATTCATTAAGTAATAACAGAAGTAATATTCCTTTTGAAATTGTGCATACTGATGTTTGGGGACCCTATCATACCACTGCCATGGGGGGTACAAATATTTCCTATTATTTGTTGATGATTACACTCGATTTTCATGGGTTTACCTTATGCGTTCTCGAGATGAGGTTCCAACATTAACCCGGATCTTTCATCAAATGATTTTAACCCAATTTGGGGTCAAAATTAAAATTTTTAGATCAGATAATGCAAAAGAATATTTTACAAACCTATTAGCCTCTACATGCTTAATCATGGGATTATCCATCAGAGTACCTACCCACATACACCACAACAGAATGGGGTTGTTGAAAGAAAGAATAGACACATATTGGAGGTAGCCAGAGGCATTATGTTTACCTCAAATGTGCCTATACGTTTCTGGGGGGATGCTGTTCTTACAACTGTTTATCTCATCACTCGGATTCCCTCACGGGTTCTTAACATGAAAACTCCATTTACCCTTGTATACCCTGATAAAGAATTATTTACCATTCCCCTCAAAACCTTTGGGTGCACTTGTTTCGTTCAAATCCTAGGCCCTCATCGTTCCAAATTTGATCCCAAGGCCTCCAAATGTATTTTCCTTGGTTATGCCCAAACTCAAAAGGGATATTGTTGTTATGAACCGACTTCTGGAAAAAGATTTGTCTCAATGAATATCCCCTTCTTTGAGGATAAACCCTATTATCCAAGGGTTTCTCCTCAGGGAGAGAATAGTGAAGCCGGGAGTAGCTCATCGGATGTTCCTTTTCCAATCCCATTAAGTGAAGAAGGATGTAATGGGGAAGGATGTCAAAGGTGCAAGGATGTGAGAGTCTATCACAGACGATGGAGACAGGTCGATTTTGGACATCAGCAGTGCAGGCCAGTCCCAGTCCCCACTACAGATCCAGATCCCGGTACCACAATAGCCCCAGTTCCTTCTGCAGATCCAGATCCAGGTACCACATATACTACAGATGAGAGACATTCGACCATGGAGCCTTCACCTTCATTCAGTGACCTTGTCTCCCCATAGTAGTCCGTAAAGGCAAACGCCGTTGCACCACAGCTCACTGCATTTCTCAGTTCCTATCCTATGATCATTTGTCTCCCTCCTACAAGTCTTTTCTTGCATTCATTGTTGATATTCCCATTCCCAGAACAATACAGGAAGCATTGGAAGTACCAGAATGGAAAGATGCAATAAAAGTAGGAATGGATGCCCTCATCAGAAACAATACCTAGGAGATAGTTGATCAACCTAAAGGAAAGAAACCGGTTGGATGTAGATGTGTATTCACTGTGAAACATAATGTTGATGGTTCTTTTGAAAGGTATAAGACCCGATTAGTTGCAAAAGGATTTACTCAGACATATGGTATTGACTACTTAGAAACTTTTGCACCAGTAGCAAAGATGACTACTATCAAAGTACTATTATCTCTTGCAGCTAGTTACTCTTGGTCGTTGTATCAAATGGATGTTAAAAATGCCTTTCTCACTGGAGACTTGCAAGAAGAAGTTTACATGCAGATGCCTCCAGGATTTTATGGTACAGAGACAGGAAAGGTTTGTCGGTTGAACAAAGCTCTATATGGACTAAAACAGTCCCCCAGAGCATGGTTTGACAGATTCAGACGAGCCCTTGATAGGTTCAGATATGTGCAGGCTCAGTCAGACCACACCTTGTTTATTAAGAGAGTGGGTTCCTCCATAACCTTGCTTGTCGTGTATGTGGACGATATTGTAGTAATTGGGAGTGATACTAGTGAAATTGAGTCTCTTAAGCAACTCCTTCATCAAGAGTTTGAGGTAAAAGATCTGGGGGAACTACGATACTTCTTGGGCATTGAGGTAGCTAGATCCAAGCATGGGATTTTTGTCTCTCAATGAAAGTATGTTCTTGATCTGCTAGAAGAAACAGGAAAGTTGGGAGTTAAGCCTGCGGACACACCTATTGAACAGAACCACAAGATTAGTGCAGAGGGTGGAGAGCCTATTGAAGATAAAGCTATCTTTCAACGGTTAGTTGGAAAGCTTTTCTATCTTTGCCTCACAAGACCTGACATTAGTTATGCAGTCAATGTAGTTAGTCAACATATGCACTCTCCTAGAACTACTCGCCTCCTTGCAGTTGAAAGGATATTAGCATATTTGAAGAGGTCCCCAGGCAAAGGCATTTTGTTCAAGAAAAATGACCACATGAAGATAGAAATCTACACAGATGTTGATTGGGATGGGTGTGTTGATGACCGAAGATCTACCTCTAGATATTGTGCCTTTGTTGGAGGTAATCTGGTCTCCTGGAAGAGTAAGAAACAAAGTGTTGTTTCTCGTTCAAGTGTTGAAGCTGAATATAGGTCCATGGCAAATGGTGTGGCTGAGATTCTATGGTTGAGGTCATTACTAGAGGAATTGGGTATTGTTTATGAGAAACCCCTAATGTTGTACTGTGATAATCAAGCTGCCATCAATATAGCCCATAATCCAGTACAGTACGACAGAACTAAGCATATCGAAGTGGACCGACATTTTATCAGAAAAAGGGTTACATCTCAAGAAGTATGCCTTCCCTACATCACCTCCAACATGTAGCTTGCAGACCTTCTCACCAAGGTTGTTTCAAGAAAGAAGTTAGAAGAAGATCTATGCAAGTTGGGAATGACAAATATCTACTACCCAACTTGAGGGGGAATGTAGGAAACTGTGGAGCCCACATTGAGAGTATTTGTGTGACACCCTGAGATGTACTTGGGTTTAATTGATTAGGATCAGCTTTCCTAGTAGGATAAGGATAAGTTTTATTCTATCTTATCTAGGATTAGTTATTCTATCTTATCTAGAATTAGTTTTATTTTAATCCTATCTTTTATTGCCATGTGAGCATTAAAGTTCTTTTACAATTAGGAAACCATGTATATAAATTAAGGAGTGGGGCGGCTGTTTTAAGCACTCCAACCATTCTCTTCTTCCAAAGCTTCTCCCACGAGTGCTTCTTCTCTTCTTCTCCTTTTCTCATTCTCTTTTATTTTCTGTTCAAAACCTAAAGAGTCTCTATAGTATTGTACGACTACTCTAGGCATGAATGTAAATCTACAGTAGATATAAATTCATAACTGACTTGAACAAATACCAAATGAACTCCAAGGGTGATGATACATCCTAGCTATTGCTCTTGAGGAAGTTATTTTGAGGTTTAAAAAGGTTCAAGCAAGTGGATTACGAGACTGACAAGGTGTTATGGTCATTTCACGCTTGCAGCTGGCATGATACTTTCTTCCGAACACATGTTGAGATGCATAACCAGTCTAAAAAATTTAATTGGGAACGAAGGATAAAGAATTAACTAAAACAGTGAGCTAGATGTTTATGTACCAAAAAAAAGTGTTAATAAAATAGCATAAATAAATGTAAGAACGAACAGCCGAGCCATAGAATTCACAATCTGCATAATGACATCGGAAAAGAAAAATAAAGGGAATGAGAGAGAGAGGGACGAAAAAAAAGGTCATTTAACAGCCGCTGTTCAACATGGATCAACCAAAGTCAATTCCAAATTGAACCAACTACAAAAATGAAATTCATCACGCTGCCACATTCTTAATAATACAAATCCGAATTTGGCCGTATAAAAAACTTAAACCAGTGAAGGCAAAATTTCTCAAAAACCAAAACCAGATGTTCATAATTCATAACTCACACGACATTAGATACGACAGTCCCACGACGCATATGAGCAGCAGTACAACCCTCTTCTTGGCTTCCTCGACGAGGTCCCGCACTGTCTGCCTCCCCGTACTCATCTCCTCAACTCAATTATTGTTCACGCCATAAGAATCACAACGGAATTCCCTCACAATCAAATTAACTCGATGAATCAAATCAAACGCTTAACCCAAGCATTTCCTCTTTTTTTTCCCATTCACAGGATGCAAACAAAAACTCTGAAAAACCTTGCAAATTGGCGCACCATTTCATCTCCACGATTCGATCAATCACCAACATCACTTTTCTTAAATGACAATCCGGATTGATTCAGAATCCAAACAATCCACACTAACAACACAACCAAACTCCTCAAACAAACGATATCCAGCGCAGAAATCAAACCCGATCCGCTCTGCGAAATCAACAATCAAAAAGAAGAAGAAGAAAATATAGAAGCAGAAAATGGAAGGTAGGGCGCAATCAAAGCTCTTCAACGCGCGGACTGTTAGGTTTTCGTAACTCTTGCTGTCTCTGAAGTTTCAACTGCCGAGTGCTGGTAGGTTTTTGTTTCGGCGTTTTCCGTGCTTTCTCTGTGCTGGAGACCGGAGAGAGCAAGGAGAGAAAAATAAAAATTAATTTGGGTGGCATCGGGAGTTTCTTACTGTTTTGCTTTTTTCAGTTAAACTCTGTACATTCGGCTTATTTCGCGAAAATGCTTTTATTATTGACTAATGATTCTAGTGTTTTTGAAAATGCTAATCATACAAATTCATCCTTTCTTTACAAGCCTTACAAATACATCTTACACTACAGATCTGAGACATCGTGATCGAAGCATGTGTACTGCAGTTATGGGTCCCACCTGAAAACGATACTGTACAGTTCTACAGCAGGGCTGGGCTGTGTCCGGCACATTTGTAAAGCAAACCAAAAAAACAAATTTGTATCGCACTTTCTTTTACCCTTTTCTTCAGAATGTAAGTTTATTGTTTTAATTTTCCCCTGGAAAGAGAATAATAAATAATTAAGTCCAAAAATAGGAAGAAGTCAAGAAACAATCGTTGCCCGCCTACGTAATTGCGTCCAATATTTTGATTTTTGAGCACATTACCTGCCCGTCCTCCCGCCTCCGGTACAAATTTGTTGTTGTTGGGTGTAAAGACTAAAGAGACTTCGGTCTACGTTACACACCGTGCTTAATACGCACTCACGGTTCCCTACGAGGCCCACTTATCACTTGCCGGTGACGCAACTCGCAAACCCACTCAATTGCGAGAGCGAGAAAGGTGAATGAATGTTTGCTAATTCCAGGTTGTGAGGGGCGATTATGATACTATTGTTTTGAGTCAACAGTAAAGCATTTTTCAATAATACACAGAATTGGTAATAGTACCAAATTAAAAAGCCAATAGACAATTTTTTAGAAAGAAAAAAATATACATAACTACTGGATAAAAGAGAAGGAAATAACTTGGCGGTATAAACGGATCGAATCGGATTAGATAATATTCAAATTCAAAACTGATTAAAAATTTCGACTCAATATCCGATGGATATTGAAAATTAATATTTGAATCTAAATCCGATTAAATATTCAAATATTCGATTTGATTCGAATTTGACTAATTAATTGTTTTAGATAATTAATAAATATATAAAATATATTTTTTTATATAAATATATAAATATATAAATTATTTATATAATTTAACTATTATATATAGATTATATAAAACATTTAAAACTTTATATATTATATATAAGAATTAAATAATCGATCAAATTCGGATATTTATCGAATCAAATCATGTCATATCCGAATTTGAATCCAATTAGCTATTCAGTATAAATAGGATATCCAAACTTTACAAGTTATATATTTGAATTATTCGAATTCGATTCAATTATGTCGAATCTCGAATTTGAAATCAGATTTTCGAATACCTTTGACACCCTTAAGAACTTTTGCAATTGACAAATGATGAATTAAATATCACTAATAGAAGAAACAATAATCCAGTGTAGCTCCATGCACCAAAACTAAGAGAAAAAGAAAAGAAAAGAAAAGAAAAGAAAAGAAAAGAAAAGAAAAAAGATAGGCAGAATGCTCAAATAAAAGAATGAAGTGTCAGAAACAGCACGAACAGAGAAAGCTGCAAAAGATGACAAAGCCCCAAATAACTGCATCCGTTACCAACAATGGAACCCTGTTGGTGAACTACAACTGCCACCAAGAAACTGCAAGGACCACCAAAAATTGCAATTGGCGGTGAAATTAGTCGGGAAACAACCATGGATGGCAAACCAAAGCAGCGACCATGGCCACCGCCCAACAAGAAAAGAAAGAAGAATTCACCCCCTATACCAAAATCCCTACACAACATAAGTAAAGAAATGAACAAAAATAACAAAGAAGAAAAACAGTGAGAAGGGAAAACAACAAGGTATTGAAGAAAGGTAAACAACTAAAACAATGGAATAGAAAAATCAAGATGGAGAGAGGAGTGAGAAGGGAAGAAGAAAAACAAGAGAATGACTAGAGGGAGTGATATAGGCACAAATGGCAGGGCCTAGGACCGTGCCACGTGGCAACGGTTGGATGAGATCCTAGTCGTCCATTCCCAACAACCTCCAACCACTCCAAGGCAAGGTCAAGTATAAATAGGGGTGCCCAACTCTAGGTAAAGATATCTTGCTCACTACTGCTCTCTAGCTCTCTTGCTCTAGAGTGACCTTGTATGAACCCTTGTCTCAAGCTTGGTCTGACCCCTTTGAAGCACTTGACTAACTTGACCATCGGAGTCTCTGCCCCTAGAATAACACCCGAGGCCTCTGATATACTCTCATATTCTCAGGTTGGACACATCAACCTCAACTAAGGAAGAAGATTTACCTTGTTGCCCTTGGCCCCATCCTTGGTAGCAAGCCAGCAACAGAGAGAAAGGAGGAAAAGAAAAGGGAGACAGAGGACTCCCCAAGGGGAGCCACCCCAATGGACCGATGGTGGAAGAGGAAACGGTGAAAGGTAGACAATGAAAAGAACCTTGAGGAAGCCTCGAGAGAAAAGCTCTCTCTAAACAGAGAAGTACTCTTCCCACTTGAAGAGGAGGGGTTTGATCCAACTATTGATTATTTCCTTAGGCCAATTATGATACTAGGTGTGTGCTAGAAGAAAACTATTTTTATATTCTTATATATATAGAGGAGATGTTGGCTCTTTCCGGTTATATACTGATATCTCCTTAAAGGAAATATATGGAACCCCTCGTGTCGATGTTTTAAAAAACAACCCATAATCGGAATTGTTATGGCCATCGGTTTCTAAGTCGATGGTTCGACCGTTCAGTTCAAACGGATGGTCTGTTCTGATAAAAAAATTAAAAAATCAAAAATAAAAAATGGCCAAAAAAAACGTTGAATGGGTCAAATGGGTTGATGGTTCGGCCATCCAGGTCAGCAGGTTATTGACCAATTTGACAGTTTTTTGCCAATGACCGGGTTTGGGGTAAAACAGAATTGGTTGCCTAAACGGTTCCTAAGCCAAATGATCTGACCGTCTGGGTCAATGGTGGTTCAAAAGCATTACCCCATGTTGGCTTTAATATTCCCCTTTGTGCACAATTTCATTGGGCCTTAAAGAAGTTTGGGCAATTATTTGCCAAGTCATACCTTGCGAGTGTAAAGATCAAACACTATAGTACTATACCACTTGGTCAAACAAGTCTCATACATCTCAAGCAAGAGTTCACATCCGCATCTCACAAGGGGACGCCCCATAATGCCTCATAGCACATTCCGACCTTGTATTGGGAACATCTCCCGATGATAGTATGAGAGATGATAAGACATGATCTGTGGACGTTTTCAATACAAGGTTGAGATGTGCTGTGTGACATTGTGGGTGGAATCCAGATTTATTCCTCATATAGTGTATACCTGATAGCATATCCCACTATGTATTGGAAAAATACATGTATGAAAGATGTTTTTGACGTGTGATTGGGGCATCTTGTAAAATCGGTGTGAGGGGCACTCTATGAAGAACAGATCATGAATCCATCTCAAGGAACTGTTTAACCTAAAAACTTTAAGTTGTTAAGTGAGATCCTTGACCATGTTTTTATTATCTAACAAATTCCTTATAAATTTATGATTCTTTATTTATTTGTTTGTTTTTCTCTAGAGAATAAGAGAAAAATAGAAGAACTACACAATCAGTGTAGTTTTTCCTCTACTATCAAAAATAAATAAATTTTAAGCCCATATAAGAAATTTATTGGGTATCATTAGCATTCCAACCTGAAGCATTTTGGGTTGAAATGCATCATATTTATACTTGAATAAGGGTTGCAAATTAATTGCTTATCTGGTTTTGAATTCAATCCACGAGTTCAAATCATTTATAATTGAATTGAATATGGATCCACCCCCTTCCCACCTGATTATATTTAAAGTTTATATTGTATCTATTAATAAATTGGTTTAAAAGTTGTATTTTCACCAAAGAGCTGTACGTTAAAATTTGCATACAAGTCATATGACAGCTAAATCATTTTTAATTCATTATATTAATAATATATAATATTGTGATGGTAAGATTTAGTTCGATTTGGATCCGGATGTAAATTAATCAGATTTGAATCTGCCCATTTCCAATTAGATTCAATCCTTTGCAGAATTGCAGTCCTAACTTGGAACCTGTTTGGTGAAAGATTGGTGTTGTTAAATTCAAGCCAACACCATCCCACTGCCACTTCAGCCAGAGCGTTGAGAAGTGAGAACTTGAGATTTCGCCGCTTAAAGCCCAAAACATCATTTCGATATTTCTTCAAACAGAGCCCACCTTGATTTCCATGAATCCATGCCACGCTAATTCCATTTTAACTCAAAGTCAAAAATAACCTCAACCAAACGGCACTTTTACCATTAAAGTCACGACAATTACATGGCACCCATGGCTTTGCTTCTTTCCTTTAACAATTGTACTACGGAATTCATAAACAATCTTTTTTTTTTTTTTTATGTCATCAGTCAGCAAGCAAGTTCAAAACGCGACGGAAAATTCAAATCCCCAAAAATTTTTTCGATTATAAGTTAGAGTGTGTTTGCCAATGTGAATGTTTTTATCCTCTAAAACAAAAAGAACTGCTGTATCAACAAACATGTTCTTTTTTTTTTTTCCTGATATTTCAGTTGTTTTGACAAATCCATTCACATCGACAAACACCCCTTAAGCCGTGTTTGGTTTGAAAGAAAATGCACGGAAAGAAAGGTCTCTGAGCCTAATTAGTTTATGAACAAGTTCTTAGAGACTCCAACTATAATACAATACCTCTTCTCTTAAGCAAATAGAATACTCTCTCTTAGAGCCTAACTTGTTAGTCTTGTTTATGAACAAGTTCAGTGCGAACATTGATGGACACTTATGGTGAATCTAGCCACGTGTCCTAAGGAGAAGCGTTGCCTATGGGCATAGAAAAATGTCAAAAGCTCTGGTGCATAAGATTTTGTCCTGGGAGTCTTGGTCAGCCATCGGAGATTCAGACATTAACCACTTTAATTCCCCCAAGGTTCAACCCCATAGGAAGGAAGCAAATATTTGAACCTTTATGTGCTTGTTTGGTGAACTGAAAGTGCAAAAATCTACCAATTTCCAGCTCGG